GGAGGAAAACTAGCAGCAGTTCAGCTACAGGATGAATGAACGGTACCTAACGGAATATCTTCAGAACGGCTCCAAATGACACTAAACTCAGATGGGAGAGTAGAACATGATGGAATAACGGAAAATCAAGGAACCAATGGAAAAAAAAAACGGCGTTCCCCTTTAAACCTTTCAGAAGATAATCCCAGATACAATAAACACCACATAAGGTGACAAAGAAAGACAGGTACAGGCAGCGCCATCACCACGGCATCACATCGCCGTCACCGCGGCGTCATACCGCCGTCACCACCCATGTGTTCCCAGACGCTGCTTAATTTGGTTCAAGGCGTGTTTCTCCTTTCCAGCCCGTGTCCAGATTAAACCAAAGGATCTCTAAGTCTGACAGCATCAGTGAGGTGATGATGCGGCCTGACTGAACGAGGAAGCGGCGTGAATGAATGAATGAATGCCCGTGCAGCGTGTCCCTACGTCCCCTTAAAGTGTCAGACAGTCATTCACACAGCTCTGTACCATAGGGACTATAGATTTGATCATTTTCTCCTCGGAGCCCGCCTCGCCTTCTCTGATCTTCACTTCAGGAACCTCCATCACCCTGATGGCCTGTAAACCAGCAGGACATAGAGGTCAAACAATGGCATTAGGAGAAGAAGAAGGAAACCAGAAGAGAAGAAAGAAATGGGCAGATAGAGAATAGCAGGAAGTCAAGAACAAACGCCAACAAATGACCATCAGAGAGACAGAAGGACGGCGAGGAGCTGGATTAATAGTTTAAATGGAATATGAGCCTAAAGCTGGGCTCTTTGGGGCCGACTGGGCAGCAGGCCGCTCCCACTGAGCCCTTCATGTTAAAAGGAGGTTTTCCTCTCCACTGTGGCAGTGTGCATCTTCAGTATGCGGTACAGCAGTGAGCAATGCATGGCCATGCCTGCTGCCTCTACCTGCTCGCCCCGCAGAGCTCAATTCCTGCCTTTTTTTTTGCACTCAAAGAGACACGACTTTATCTTTACTGAAGTGCAGCTTCACCTTAGAACTGTCGTTGTCAATAGCAACAATATGTTTGCAGTGAAGACATTGTTGCTAAGGCAACGCCACTAACTCCATGAGGCACGTAATCGAGCACAGGTTTGGCTGCAAGGAGAGCAGAGCGCAGCCAGCGGAGCCGCCGTCCTGCCAGCAGCCCGGAGCAGAACAGGAACCATTCAGACTGGTCTGCAACAGGCAGGTTTACGCTGGTTAGCGCTGCTAATGCATGCATCCTGCTAACTGGTGTGTAGCTGGGTTTCATTGCTATGCTAAACCAAAAGCTAACTAAACCATGAACAGATGAAGCATAGCTTGTTAAAACATTCCCATCCATTGGGTGGGCCGCTTAAACAGCTAACCTTCGCTGTTAGCTTCAGCCTCTGAAAGGCCGGTCAGTGGGAATCCATTCGCCCCCAGAAAAATGAAAGAAAGACGAGCATCACAGACTCGGCTACCAGGTATCTGAAACATCATCCAACCCCTCAGAGCGTAGAGTTCCACTGCTGGAGACACCAGCGGCGTCTGCCGAGAGAGCAAGGCGCGCCAGCGGCGTCTGCCGACAGAGCAAGGCGCGCCAGCGGCGTCTGCCGACAGAGCAAGGCGCGCCAGCGGCGTCTGCCGACAGAGCAAGGCGCGTCAGCTGATGGAGACCAGCAGCCACCATCATCATCAGGTAGACCACATTCAGCCTCATATCAGCACCATGAAAGCCTTCTACCAGATTATAGAATAACAAACAGTGAACATTTGAACCAGGTGATCTAAACGCCTCCAGCTGATTAGACTTAATGAGCGACTCGACAGTTCAGAGGCTTTTCGTACCTCCAGAGCTTTGAGCAGAGCGTCGTTTCTTCCTGCTTCTCCCACCAGAACTACTCGTGTTTCCACTTTCGGCAGCATTTCTGAGGAAACAGCAGCAGAGCAAAGGTCAACAAAGGAAACAGAAAGAGGAGGTCTGACTGTCGGCATGTTTACAAAGAAATCCTGAAAAATCCTCATTTCCGTCCATAAAGGAGGAACTGAAAAAAAAAAACGATGCTGCAGTAAAAGTTTAACATGAAGTTTTCTTCTCTTGTGATCATCAGCCGATGGCGTCATGTTCCAATCTGGGTTTTATGAACTAAATAAAGTTCGAACATCTCATCTAATAGATCCATGATGCTTTAAGTGAAGAGGATCTAATACTAATGAGCATCCAGTGCTGACGTCTCTGCTGGGTTCAGATCGGCTCAGAATCCCAGATTATTTTCTGCAGCTGGAAATCCTTCAGCTCCTTTAAACTGACACTGATGTTTACCTTCAACATCCAAACGCACCTCATTGTTAATGTGATGAGCCATTCTGACCCGACTCCATTTATATTACAGATAAATAAGTTGGCTTATTGATGCTAAACCTGGATAATTAAAATAATGCTGCTCTAAAGGTGCATCACCATGTGACACAGTGGACTGCAAGCTCCAGATTAATGATTTCAGAATAAAGCTCCAGATTAATGATTTCAGAATAAAGCTCCAGATTAATGATTTCAGAATAAAGCTCCAGATTAATGATATCAGAATAAAGCTCCAGATT